TGTCATTGCTGTCAAACTTATGCTTGTCTTCTTCGATCACCTGAACCACACTCGGCATCGCTTCCGGGTCTAAGCGCTGTTGTGTTTGCTGTTGATAATTAGATTGTTGTCCCATTGGCTGCGGCGGCGCACCGGCCGTCTGTTGTGGGCCATAACGCGATGCCATTCCCTGGGGAGGCATTTGGCCGGACATCGGCGGCATTTGTTGATGCATTTGTGGACCCATGGATTGCATTGGAGGTCCCATTCCTAATGTCGCCGGCGGCGGATATCCCCCGGATATGGGCGCAGATATTTGGTTAGACATCTGCGGCATTTGGTTAGACATCGGCGGCATCTGATTGGACATCGGAGGAGGCATTTGTTGATGCATTTGTGGACCGGATTGCGACGCAAGAGATTGTCTTTGGTATTGAAACGGCGGCAAAACACTGTTGTTTTGAAACGCTTGTTGTGTTGGAGGCGGAGCTGAAGAGCCGCTCGTTTGGACAGAACCCGAATTCCAAGCGTCAGGGCTTTGAATGGGCTGTGTTTGAAGGCCAGGCATCGGCGGTCGCGACCAGTTCTGGTTATCCATAGTTGGCTGCGGCGGACGCTGTTGTGGGGGTTGTAGTGGTTGTTGTTGTTGTTGTTGCTGTTGTTGTGGCGGTTGTTGTTGTTGTTGGTGCTGAAGAGGCGTTGGATGTGATTGTGGATAGGGTTGTGATTGCAATCCATTTTGTGGCGCAAATCCTTGCGGTTGCGAACCATTGAGTGAAATATTGGTCATCTGATCCGATAAGTTGTTGATGTGTTTCTGCGGTTCCGGTAGAGCAGAGTTGGGTTGCATTTGTGGCGGTCGTTGAGACTGCTGTAAGTCTTGAGTGGGAAGCGATGGCATTGTCTTCTGTATGTGAGGTCTGGTTTGGGGTAAGTGTTGGTTAGGAGGAGGTCCTGGAAGTGAAGACATGGGAGTCTGTGGTCTATAGTATGTATTGTTAGGCGAAGACATCGGCATTTGGGCAGCGCTTCCATTCTGTTGATAGTATTGCTGCTGAAGAGGCTGTTGTGGCAAAGGATTGGGGTTTTGTTGATAATACAAGTGCTGATCCATGGCTTGAAAAGACATGAACTGATGGTGTATTCAAAGCCAATGTAAGTCAATGTCGACGTGTCTTACAGTCGATGACAACAACACAACTAAACATTGAATTCAATTCAAAACGTATTTTCTTTTCATTTATTGATTTAATTTTATCCATAAATTATGTGACGTTTGTTAAGACGGGTTCACAAAAAGTGTGCACTTTTTGAAAACTAAAAATTACTGTTAATTATTAAAAGTGATAAAAAGTTGAAATCTAAAAGTTATTTGTCGTAAATAATTGTGTGATCATCACATCATCACTGCGGGAACCGATACCACACCACAAGCAATGGCCAGAGCTAAACAGACGCAGACCACCCGCGGCCGTCCCAACCGCGACGATCGGCACCTCCCGGACCGGAGTGTCGCCCGCAAGAGCACAGGTGGCGTACCCTCGAGTCAACGCCCGGGCCGTACACCAGTGCCCGCACGACCGCAACCATCGCCCACACCGTCGGACGACACGGCCAACAGTCAACGCACTGACACACAGAGCAGTGGTGGCGGTGCCGGTAGTCGACGATCGGTGTCCCGGCGAGACATGGCTCGCATACTCGAGACCAAGACTGGCAACGGGTCCGGCTTTGGCCGAAGATCGACCGGCGGTGCCCACCAAATGGGTGGCGTAATGCGTCCGCATCGGTACCGTCCGGGCACTATCGCTCTGAGAGAGATCCGCCGCTATCAGCGATCGACTGAGCTATTGGTGCCGCGGCTGCCGTTTCAACGGTTGGTCCGCGAGATTGCGGCCGATCTGAAGAATGACCTCAAATTTCAATCGGCGGCGCTGTCGTGTCTGCAGGAGGCGGCCGAGGCTTACATCGTCGGTCTGTTTGAGGACACAAATCTGTGCGCCATTCACGCCCGACGGGTCACGATTATGCCCAGAGATATACAGCTGTCCCGACGTATTAGGGGTGAGCGTACGTAAGGGGTGTTTTCGGAAGGGATGGTCTGGTGGCCGGCGGCGGCCAATTCGGCGGTGTTTTAGTCCGTTGTCGAACCCGATGTTTAGTACAATTTGTATTAAAATGATAATTAGTGTAAATTGTAGTGATTTTTGATAACTTTAATAAATGTATTTTGCAGCAAATATTATTTGTAACTTTGCATAATTATCTCAAATAAAAACATAAAAATTTCTTATTGACTTCAAATAAATTTATTTTAATTTTAATGCAATAACTTATTCTTTTTTTAATCGGTTTTTTAAATTTTAGAACATTTTATAAATCTTTAAATAATAACAATTTGTTTGAATTAATAAATACATGTAAAATATTGATCACTTATTATGATGACTGCATATATCGTTAATTTGTAAAATGTATGATTAATTTACAATATTGTGTTTAATTGATTTAAAATATGTACAAATTGTTGTCTATTATATACAGAACACTAATCTAATACAGAGTATATGTTAATGAATTTTACAATATCTAGATAACAAAATCCAATTCATATTTGGTGTAACAAATCAAATAATATTGATTTATCAACTATTTATAAAATGTTTATGCTGTGATATGGTCACTATGTGTGACCCTGCTTAAATTTACATTGGAGACAAACTGGACAAAACCGAAATTTTGAAATTTTCTTTATAGCCATGTTAAATTCAAACTAGTTTTAATATTATTTGATTTATTACACCAAATAAATTTTGAGACATTTAATTTTGTTATTGTAAAGTCCATTAATGTACACCATCTATATTGTGTGCTAGATCTAAATACCAGGTAAATGTTGACTCTCTTTAGAGTATTATAAATATCATCATTAATATTAGCAATTGATTATTACTTAATTATTGTGTTGTGTTCTTATATAACAATACTATATAAGTAATACAGTAAAATAGTATACATTAATAACAATAAAATTAATGTACAGGTATAGTATATTATATACTGCACATCAGTTAATGTAAAGTATAATTATATTACAGAATGAAATAAATATTTATAAAATATTCTTTGTAACGAAAACAATATACATGTATTGAAGTTTTTGACCACAAATAATAAGGAATAACAGAGTTTACACAACAGAATATTTGGATTAACATGAACTGAAAACTGCATTCTGAATACTTATGTTTTATTTAAACAATTCAACAAGTTCATCATAAGTTATGTTAAAAAGGCACAGTTTTTTTATGAATGATATTATTAAGTAAACAACCCTTTTATGAATTTGATTTGTAATCAGTTATTAAATGTGTAATAAAATCAAGAATTTTTAGCATTTGTTTTAAATGAAAAGAGCTTTGAAGTGAAATAATGATATTTGAATCGATATGCTGAAAGGAACATGGTTGGATGATTTTAAAAACTTATCATGTGTAATGTTTTATAAGACCTTAAATTAAATTACTAAAAATTAATTGAATACAATTTTAAAACAGCAATATTTTTAATATACTGTACATGTATTTGTCAATCAATTTCTCGTAATATGTGATTATAAAATATTTTATTATTATCAGTGTATAATGTATTACTGTTGTGACGTTTTTATATGAAATATTGTATTTGTAAAAAATTGTATAAATAATATAAATATTTAGAGACAAAATAACTAAAAATGAAGGCCTGAAAGGTTTCGATTCTGGTTTCT